TTGTTGTTTCTCATAATTCCAAATCTCCATTTCTAAAAACTGAAATACGAAGCCAAAAGAACCTCTCCCTTCTTGTGCATCTTCTTTGTACTTTTTAAGTTCCATTTTCAGTTCTTCTAAAAGTGGAGCCATTTTAAAAAGTTTTAAACAACCACCTGATTGATTTTAGTCATTCAAAACAATAACCAAGAATCCAGAAATCATCAAGTAATCCAGATAGTCCCAAGTTATATCTTCTTATTTCTTTTTCGACTTTCTCTTCCTGGGGTTTTTGTTGCGATACTTCAGTTAGAATGTATCTTTTGGAAGTCTTGTTGAGATTTTACTGTAAGTTCTTTTTTAATTCCAGGCAGTCTCCTCCCTTCCAGATCCTGCCCTTTTATTCTTCCTCTCTGCTTTCCTGTTTTCAAAAGCTTTTAATTGTCCAGAAAACTTTATTATCCCTTTGACTTTTTATTTTCAGCATTAAATGCCTATTGATGTCAAAGTGGATTTTTTTCCAATTTCTTGCTTAAGTCTCTTAGCTGTCAGTATAGGAAAAGGAGAAAACCAAATCTTTTCCCTACATAGTCAACTCTTTAACTTCAATGATAATTCCAGGTATTTGTAAGCCACTCTACTTAACAATCTTCCAAAGGCTCAGAATTTTTCATCCTTAGTCGTGAAACAAATAGGTATCTGACATTATGCAAAGAGAAAAGAAAAAACAGTCTTCCAGGTATTATTTAGCTCCACTCTGTATTGTCTGTATTGTCACTCCTCCAATTTTTTCAAGGACATTCCCAGCCTTGTAAAAATATAGCATATTTTCTTTCACAAGTAGATGGCACCATTGCCTAAAATTTCAACATTACACCCAATCTAACAGCTGACTTCAAGCAATTTCTTCCAATAATCAACCAAATGTTTCCAGCATTTTAAAATGCGTTTTCAAAATATTGCCAATAAGGTATTCAAATCCAGTCTTTCTGTATTTTAAAAATTTTGTATTCTCTCTTAGGTTTCACTTTCTTTAGAATCTGTAATCTTTCTCTAAGTATTTGTTCTGCACTTTTTTTTCCACTTTAGAGAGTCTATCTTTTCGGAGTTTCTTTTCTTTGGGGTTTAATCTCTAGTATAGAAGTTGAAAATCACCTCACCCAGTTCCAGTCCAATGTTCACACACCACTCCAGAACATTTCTTTCTTCGGTTGTCCCAGCTTCAAGGTGGCCATAATGGCCACCTCTCCTCTTTGTTGTTGGATGGGAGGGAAAGCCTTGGATCAAGCAGGAGAGTTGCCACTCTCCACGACCTGCAAAGCACCCCTCCTTCAGGGTGACTTTAGCCCCTTAAGGGCCCCCTAACAAGGAGGGTTCAGCCTAGGTTCGTGGAGCTCCACTCCCTATGACTGTCCCACAGCTATGCCAAACTGGAAAAACAGAGGGCAGTTCCTTAATGAACATAGGAAATAAATGAAATTTGGTCCAAAAATGGACTAAAAAGCTGTTCAATTTTGGTCACAAAAGTAAATAGGTCCTGTTCTCAATCTATCTCCAAAGGAGCATGCTGTCATGGTTGGTGCCATGACAGCCCTCTCTTTGCCTTTGTCAACTAATGTTTAACAGGGCTTAATTATTCTTGCCTTCTTAAAATAATTATATATATTTAAAATTTTTAATTCTGAAATTTTAACTCTTAACATTTAAAATTTTTTATACTGTTTTATGTTTTGATGTTTTATTGTACACTACCCAGAGTCCCTCTTAGAGGGAAATCACTGGTTCAGAAAAGTGAAATATAAATACAGGTGAAACTCAAAAAATTAGAATATCGTGCAAAAGTTCATTTATTTCAGTAATGCAGCTTAAAAGGTGAAACTAATATATGAGATAGACTCATTACATGCAAAGCAAGATAGTTCAAGCTGTGATTTGTCATAATTGTGATGATGATTGCTTATAGCTGATGAAAACCCCAAATCCACAATCTCAGAAAATTAGAATATTGCATGCAATCAATAAAACGATTGTACATAGAACAATATCAGACCTCTGAAAAGTATAAGCATGCAGATGTACTCAGTATTTGGTATGGGCCCCTTTTGCAGCAATTACTGCCTCAATGCGGCGTGGCATGGAAGCTATCAGCCTGTGGCACTGCTGAGGTGTTATGGAAGACCAGGATGCTTCAATAGCGGCCTTCAGCTTTTCTGCATTGTTCAGTCTCATGTCTCTCATCTTTCTCTTGGCAATGCCCCACAGATTCTCTATGGGGTTCAGGTCAGGCGAGTTTGCTGGCCAATCAATCACAGTAATCCCACGGTCATTGAACCAGGTTTGGGTGCTTTTGGCAGTGTGGGCAGGTGCCAAATCCTGCTGGAAAATGAAGTCAGCATCCCCATAAAGCTCGTCTGCGGAAGGAAGCATGAAGTGCTCCAAAATCTCCTGATAGATGGCTGCATTGACCCTGGACTTAATGAAGCACAGTGGACCAACACCAGCAGATAACATGGCTCCCCAAATCAACACAGACTGTGGAAACTTCACACTGGACTTCAAGCATCTTGCAGTGTGCGCCTCTCCATTCTTCCTCCAGACTCTGGGTCCTTGGTTTCCAAATGAGATGCAAAAGTTGCTCTCATCAGAAAAGAGGACTTTGGACCACTGAGCAACAGACCAGTTCTGTTTTTCTTTTGCCCAGGTAAGACGCTTCTGACGTTGTTTGTTGTTCAGGAGCGGCTTCACAAGAGGAATACGACATTTGAAGCCCATGTTCAGGATCCGTCTGTGTGTGGTGGCTCTTGATGCACTGACTCCAGCCTCAGTCCACTCCTTGTGAAAGTCCCCAACACTTTTGAATGGCCTTTTCCTGACAATCCTCTCCAGGCTGCGGTCATCCCTGCTGCACGTGCACCTTTTTCTTCCACACTTTTCCCTTCCACATAACTTTCTATTAATGTGCTTTGATGCAGCACTTTGGGAACCTCCAACTTCTTTTGCAATTCCCTCTTGAGGCTTTCCCTCCTTACGGAGGGTGTCAATGATGGTTTTCTGCACAACTGTCAGGTCAGCAGTCTTTCCCATGATTGTGCTTCCTACTGAACCAGACTGAGAGACCATTTAAAGGCTCAGGAACCCTTTGCAGGTGTTATGGCTTAATTAGCTGATTAGAGAGGGACACTTTGAGCCTAGAATATTGAACCTTTTCACAATATTCTAATTTTCTGAGATTGTGGATTTGGGGTTTTCATGAGCTGTAAGCCATAATCATCTCAATTATGACAAATCACAGCTTGAACTATCTTGCTTTGCATGTAATGAGTCTATCTCATATATTAGTTTCACTTTTTAAGTTGCATTACTGAAATAAATGAACTTTTGCATGATATTCTAATTTTTTGAGTTTCACCTATATATAAGAAAGAAAGTTAAACAAGTAGCCCTCAACTTACAACCATTTGTTTAGTGACCAAAGTTACAATGGCAATGAAAAAAGTGGCTTATGACCAGTTTTCATACAACTGTTGCAGCATCCCCATGGTCACGTGATCAAAATTTGGGCACTTGGCAATTGGCATGTATTTATGACAGTTGCAGTGTCCTGGGGTCATGTGATCACCATTTGTAACCTTTCTAGACAGCTTCTGACGAGCTAAGTCAATGGGGGAAGCCAGATTCGCTTAACAATCACATAATTCACGTAACAACTGCAGCAATTTGCTTAACAACTGTGGCAAAAAAGGTCATAAAATGAGGAAAAACTCACTTAACCGCCTTGCGTAGCAACATAAATTTTGGACTCAATTGTGGTCGTAAGTCGAGGACTATCTGTATTGACATTTGCACAGTGTGGTAGCAGAGTAATATCTGTTAAAACTGTTCTTTTAAATTGCTAGTAATGGTTTTAAAGATTTTTAAATAAAATATTTTTAAATAATAATTATGTATTAAAACATTTTAATATAAGAGATTGCCTTGTAAGGAAGTTGAGAGAAGGAAAAGATAGGGTCTAGGACAACTGGCTACCACCACCTTGCCCCAGACACCTTGCGGCAGGATAACTTAACATGGGCAACTCACCATGGGACAACACATTGCGGGAAAATGCTGGTGGCGAGGAAAACATGCTTTTCCTCCTCCTCCTCCTCCTCCTCCTCCTCCTCCTCCTCCTCCTCCTCCTCCTCCTCCTCTGTAGCTCAGACTGAGGAAAAAAATCAGGGAGGACAAAGTGGGGAGGGGAAGGACTCCCTACCCACCCCCAAACCAGAAATAAGGTCACTTGGGAGAGAGTTACACACTTTTCGGTGCACAGGAGTTTCTGCTACAGAATTCAAGGGGTATTGGTGGTAGTGGGGGCAAGCCAGATCAAGGGAGGGAGGGAGGGAAAGGAGGAGGGCCCCCTCTCCTTCAGCATTCTCCCATGGCAAATTGCCAGTGGTGAGTTGTCCCACGGCAAGTTGTCTGGCAGGAAGCTGGCCAGGGTGACCCAGCTGCGGCAACCCAGCTGCGGCAAGTTGTCCCACTGTGCTGACAGATAAGAGTTATGTTTCCAATTTTGGGGTTTGATGATAAATTTCCTGTTGGGGTATCCTGAGTCAGTTCTCTGCAGTTTTAATTCTGCCTCTTCCTCCCACTAATAGCCTGAAGATATTGGTCAGGCACCAATGGCCTCCATGCCCGATGGGGACAAAGTGGACTTGGAGGCATTCAGTGAGTTTACGAAGATCATCACCCCTGCCATCACCCGTGTGGTGGATTTTGCCAAAAAACTGCCCATGTTTTCAGAGGTAAGCAAAAGATGGTGAGCAGTGAAAGGATGGAGGAATTTGGTTATTTGGTTGTGAAGTTTTATACTTCCAGAGAATTTATTCTTTCATTCCTCTTTTCTTACCATTAGAACCATTTTGGCTCGTTGTTTGGAAGACATAGGAATACAGTAAACAGGCAGTCCTCAACTTATGAGTGGACCCAAAAGATACAACCCGGTTCTGACGGCTTTGCTTTCAGTGATAAAAATCATGTGGCCGAGTTAACTGGGTGTATGATAATGCTGACACATTCATTTTGTGATTCCTGCTTGACAGGAATCATTTTGTAAGGGAGAAATCCTTAACTAAAGGAAAAATAATACACTGAAGCAGCAGGTTGTGCAAATAGGAACTCCAGGTAGGCATGTTAAGTGTTGAAAGTAGAGAGGTATTTGAAGAAACATTGGGGGGTGGGGGGGTGGGCTAAGCTCTATGTTGGCTCCCTAAGTGGATAAATTATGGTAATAATTTATGATTACAATTCCCCTTTACCATATATTTCAATAAAATGGAATATCCCAGCAGTTTACAGCAAAATAATATATAAAGTAGACAAGTTAAATAGCACCCATAGGCACCCAGTGCCAATGACAGTCATTACAACTAAAAGGCTTTTTGGAATGATATCATTTTTACCATTTCTAAATGCCATCAAGGGGGTGTTGGAGATAGACTATCAACCTGTGAATGGGGAGGAAGTAGGCCATCTGATCCCTCTCCCTCTCCCTTTAGTTGCCTTGTGAAGACCAGATCATCCTTTTGAAGGGCTGTTGTATGGAGATTATGTCATTGCGGGCAGCTGTGCGTTATGACCCTGAAAGTGAAACCCTGACCCTCAGTGGTGAAATGGCCGTCAAAAGGGAGCAGCTGAAGAACGGTGGCTTGGGTGTGGTATCAGATGCCATCTTTGATCTGGGAAAATCCCTCTCTGCCTTCAGCCTGGATGACACTGAAGTGGCACTGCTCCAGGCTGTGCTGCTCATGTCCTCAGGTATGAGTGGTGGGTTGATTATGCACTCAGTGAATAATGCAGTTGGCATTATTCAAACAAGTGAGTCAGACCAAGGCTCCATATAGCTCAGTAAAATCTGTATTGATCATCAATAGTTTTGTAAAACTTCAGATTAAAATTGTACTTTGGTAGAAGATAGAAACTGAACTTTTGACTGCTTGTGGGCTAGCGTCTTAGCTACAGCCCTTCGCTTAGATCAAGGATCAAGAACATGCAACTTTAAATTTGTCAAAATGCCAAAGTGAGACCACAACCATCAACAATTTTATATCTTTAGCTATTTTTGTCACAATCTCCCAAATCACCAGCTACAGCAGAATATGTGTCACATTTGTTAAATGCATGGGATACTGTACATGGCTAGTAAATGGTTGGAGGGTTAAATAAAAGGATATTAAATAGTAAAGAGGATTATTTTAATAGCTTCATAAGAGGGAAGTAGAGTCAGTCAGTTGAAGGATTAATTAAATTGGCTTTGCATATGTTGAAAAATTGAATTCAAGTTGAATGTTGTAAAGTGGACTGCATCGTTCAGGTGAGAAAGTTGCATTGAGAAACCAAAGGTAAAGGAAGCTTTGTCAGTTTGATCTGAGGGACATTTTTGAAGATTTATTTGAGTGATTGAGAGGGAAAAGTCATTTTCAGTTATATTATGACTGACAATGACTAATTCTATGAAATCCAGAGAGAGAGTAAAATTATCCCTAGAATTCATTCAGTCCTTACTGGAATTTGTGGATCAATCTGCAGCACTGCTATCATTTATTAAAGAACACCAACACTCCTGAGTCTCTGAAGCTATGCAGGGCATTTATTTAGCACATGGCAAAAATGTTAAAAAGCATATCACAAGTACATCTCAATGAGTAAATATGAAACTATTCTATTTTCAAATTCAAAGGTAGACTATTTATATAGTCAATAAATGAAGGAGTTGCATATAGAAAGTCTCTGGAGTTTCCCTGATACGCACTCAGAGGGCACTGTTCCACAATATGTTGCACTGTCTGCTTTGGAGCACCACAGCTACTATGCAGAGCATAGGACAGTAGAGATGGTGCTGATAAGAAATGTGCTTTGTGTGCTGCATTAAACAATGCCAAATAAGTGGCAAATGGTTTCTGAAAAAACAACTGCTTTTGCTTTAAATTTTGAACTTTTAAGCTATACAGGTAATCCTCACTTAATGGCTGCCCTGTTTAGCAACCATTCAAAATTACAACAGCACTGAAAGTTTACAACCAGTCCTCACACTTCTGACTGTTGAAGCATCCCCATGGTCGCACAATCAAGGTTCAGGCACTTCACAAACCAGTGGGTGTTTACAACCATTGCAATGTCTTGCAGTCATGAGATTGCCATTTGCTTGTTTCTCATCTAGCTTTCAACAGTGGAAGACCTGGCAGTAAAATTGCAAGTCGTGTTCATGTGATTTCTCACTTAATGACTGCATTGCTTAATGACAGTTGCCTGTGCCAATAATGCTGATTAAGCAAGGAATACCTGTACTCTTTTTCTGAAGATCATTATAAGATAGCTGTAAGGCAATGAGCAAGGTTTTGTGCTTTGTCAGTATGGAGACAAAACTGAGCATAGAGTTAATTCTAACCTGAGCAATGAGGATTTAGGAGATTTAGTGAGTCAGAAAGGTAACCTGGGATTAGGTCAATTTAGTTGAATGCAGGACAGATGCAGATTTAGCCTGCCTGACGTGTGCCCTCTTTTCCATTTACTTTGCAGATAGAAGTGGGCTAATTTGTGTTGACAAGATTGAAAAATGCCAAGAGACCTATCTGCTGGCATTTGAACACTACATCAATTATCGGAAACACAACATTTCCCATTTCTGGCCCAAGCTCCTCATGAAGGTGACTGACCTACGTATGATTGGGGCTTGCCATGCCAGCCGCTTCCTGCACATGAAGGTGGAATGCCCCATGGAGCTCTTCCCCCCACTCTTCCTGGAGGTCTTTGAGGATCAGGAAGTTTAGAGTGTGGAGTGGGAGCGGGAAAAGAAGGTGGCATGGGCAAATTGGGGACATGGGGCAATTTGGGATGGGTGATGTCTGGATTTGGGTCACAAGGACCTCACCTCATCACCTCTGACAACAGATTTTCATTGTTTTATGTTTTGTTTTCTTTTCATTTTTTGTTTTTCTAAATATTGCACATCAGCATCAGTGAAATGGGCCATGAAAAAGTTGAAGCTTTACAAAATCTGGGTTATGAGGTAGATGAGTGCAGGAGCCATCACATTCTTTCGCTAGGCAGATTTTTTAAAAATAAGTGGACGGTACAATTCCCACCTACCCCCTTGTTATACCCTCTGTTGTCTAAATTTGTCTTCCCACAGTGAAATGTCTATGTTAAACTTCAACACAAAAGAAAAGGAAAATAATCCACATGTTATCTCCCCCCACCCCAAGTGCTTTGCCTTTCTCTCCTTCTTTAAAAAGGTTTTCTGGCCCCCACAATACTGGAAACAATTGGCACCTCTTTCTTCTAGCCCTGATCAAACCTCATTTAAACAGACTTCACTATCAATATATACATATACATATATATATATTTGTTTTCTTAAGTTTTCGTGGGTATTTATATGTATGGTATTCAGCTTTGTTCGGGTATTTTCCCACGTCATTATAGTTGTGCTTTTAAAGTTGTAGCGACGTTTCAGCAGAATCTCATCTGCCATCATCAGGCTTCTGTATTGGGTTCGTCTGTGTGTCAGGCTGAAGGAGCCCCCATGGCATCACCACTGTCACCCATTATTGCAAACCTGTTCATGGAAGAATTCAAATCCAGAGCCCTGGCTAATGCCACCCACAAACCCAAACTATGGTTAAGATACATCGATGACACATTTGTGATTTGGCCCCATGGAAACGAAAACTTAAACAATTTCCTAACACACCTAAACAGCACATACCCCATGTTATGTCCTGAGGACTTAAGGAGTTCTCACTCAGGTCCACTCACT